GTTTTGTACAGAAGATTAATCTGTAAAAAAAAAAGTCAAACATTTTGTCATTGACAAATATATGGATTCAGTCACTTGCAAAAAAAAAACAAAAAATATTTGCACAGAAGTTTTATTGGCTCTACAAAGGTACATATACAGTTATCCTACAAACTTAAAGTAAACCAAACTTCAAATTTTACGTCATGAAATATCCTACTGAAGATTTTAAGTACAAAACTGTATACAACTCCCATCTAACAAATTAAAAAAACACATTAAAACCCACACTGACCAGGTCAAAGGTCATCTCATGAACTTGTGCAAGGTGAATAAATCTAGATACTTATATATTCCATGCTCTAACATAACTTCTACGTTCAGAGGTACAGTACACACATTTATATAAAAAAAAACAATGAAAAAAGGTAATTGTTCCTGATATCCAAAAAAGTTGTGATAAAAATCACGTAACCTGGAGATTTTATATTTTCCAAAAAACATTTGCAGTTTAAGTGATTTTTATCACGACTTTTAAGCTTATCTGTTTCTAAAGCTTTGCCAGCTTTTTACATTTAAACCATAACTTTTAAATTATTTTGCTTATATGATGAAATTAAAGACACTATTTGTTTCCTTTAAATCACCTGATCATGCCAGGTTATTAACCTGGTGAAAGACAGTGAAATAAAAAAAAATGTTCATTCAATAAACCTGTTAAAACAGTATTAATGTTCTGATTTAAACTATAAACATATGGTATAAAACAGATTAAAGTAACACAGATATATTCACAAATTTTGTGATACTGTAGAGATAAGTACACGAAGTAGCACATTGTGTAGGTGAAACCAAAGTTTAAAATCAAGTGATAAAATTCACAACAGATCTTTTTATACAAGAACTCTATTTTAAAAGACACTTCAAATATGGAAGCAGTAATTTACTGATTTACAAGTTGTATACACTAATTTGATCTGGACACACACTTAAAAACACATATGACAGACAAAAAAAAAGAAAATTTTATCATGTGTTTGTCACATGAACATAGTTCACAGATTTGTTTTACTCAAGATCAGTTTTATTACATCAGTAAGTTGTCAGAAAATAGTTCACAGATTTGTTTTATTCGAGACCAGTATTATTACATCAGTAAGTTGTCAGAAAATAGTTCACAGATTTGTTTTACTCGAGACCAGTATTATTACATCAGTAAGTTGTCAGAAAATAGTTCACAGATTTGTTTTACTCGAGACCAGTATTATTACATCAGTAAGTTGTCAGAAAATAGTTCACAGATTTGTTTTACTCGAGACCAGTATTATTACATCAGTAAATTGTCAGAAAATATTTGAAAATGA